TTGCTGGTAAACCTGGTCGTTGAATGTGAAGTAAGTTTGAAGACACAGTTCCGCACATGCTAACTCAATTTTAAATTTTTTCGCAAGTTCTGTTAGGTAACACTCGAATCTAGATTAATCACTTCTCATAGAAAAATACAAAAAACATGCACAGGCTTAGTCTGGGATGTCCATTAGCATACGAGACCGCCGGAATGCAAGGTAACATTTCTTTCCGCGCAAATTTGTAAACAAATTTTACTGATCAAGCTATTTATGCACCTATTCTGTATGCAGAAGGACATCACTAAGCTTCGCAATTGGCAGAATGACTGTTAGCTTCCTGCTTGCCCCCTGTTCTACTCCTTCTCTTTTTTGGGGCTAGATGCGGCCTGCCAGACCTTTGTCCAACCAATATTGAAGCTGCTACCACTTCATGCTTAGCAACACCTTTTTTCACTGCTGCTAGTCTTGGATCAAGATCCTTCCCCTATCGACAAATTTAACCTAAAATTAGGCTTGCAAGCAGACCCCATCCTGATAAACTGGCACTCGGTTTCACCTTGACCGACTTTTTATTGAGCTTCTGCACGTAATCATTTGTCTCGAGCACTGTATTTGGAGTAACAAAGCTCACCAACTCTAATAAGCTTTTGTTTCAGTTTGGGCTCCCCGGTATTCTGTGAGACTAATGCCCAGAACTTCTGCCTAATACACAACGTGAACTGAAAAACACGAGGTTCAAGTTAGCTTGCATTTTTCGAACCAGTTTGGTAGTCTCCCAAGGAAAAACCTTTTCGAATAGTAAGTTGGTTGCCTACCGTTTAATTGCAGGTCAGACTTAGTCGTCTTATCTGTCCTTTTACCCCCTTTTCGATGAGTTGCCTGCCCCTTGCGTAAACTTCCACCAACATCACCACTATTGTAGGTAGTGTTAATTATGAGTTCAAGCATTTACCCAGAGGAGACTCTTATCTTCTGTTCTCTCTCCGTGTCCTAGGTTGTATCTCACGTGTACAGTGCGCACTTGAACTTTGAGGTGCCTGCGACAAAAGACCTGGAGCGGCGTTGTTGTCTCTGGTCAGACTGTTCCTCAACCATGGTCCCTCGCGCCCCCTACGCCCTGATCGGCCATGTTATCGACCTCCACTGCTCCGCGAGTGAGTTACAGACTCGGCGGTCTTGTCGACCACTAGGACTGTCTACTCCA